GCAAATGTACACACGTTTGGTTGTCTCCCATCTACCGGGCGACAGTCGTTCACTCGCTGGATATCTGTGCACAGTAGGTTTGGAGAGAGTCGAGTGTGGTGCAGGGTGGAAGCCACTGATGTGAACCCTGGGGAATAATTTCGCCGGGCAAACATGCAGAGGCCTGGTGAGAGCCATCATCTGGTCTAAACATGATGACATAGCAATGAGTACCGGTGCTAACCACACCCGTCAGTTTTCTCCGGGTTTCTGTGAGGTACTGCAATTCCTTTAGATTACCGCGTCATCTAAGTAGGAGTCAATAACCAAGCGGCAAACCGGAAGTCAGATTACTAACGGTGGCACCACTTCTTAATATGATAGTAGACTCAAGCAGGTAGTTATCAGAAGCTGCAGAATTTGGCTGAAAATGTATGAAACTTACCCAGGTGATTCATTGGTTTGGAGTGGGTATTTTGACGGCCGGCAAGTTCGATTCTGCTCAGGCCGTCAGCCCGTAATTTGCTGTGGGTGCTATCTTCTCGAATGACACGTTTGCGTTTGGGCATTCAGATACGTTGTACCTCAGCTTTTCAAGTACACCAGATCGCACCGTCAAATGTGAGGCTTTCTCAAGATTAAGGTTTTTCAAACTTACCTGAAGGCTGCCAAAATCGCGAAATTTCGGTTGTCCACATTTTCGTGCTCGACTCTTTAACTGACCGTAAATAAGTTGTTTCGAACATTCAGCTTGCATAAACTAACCAACGTAGATGGCTACGCATTAGCGTCAACACACGACACCGTCGTTTCAGAGCTCCTGTGGTAGTATGTATGATATACCTATAGTATATATAGTATATATATAGTTTATAGTATCTTGCGCAGGCAGTGAAGGTGAAATATGTCAGATATACTAATTTGTTGTCACCATGGTGTCCACCTTTCACTACCACATAACAGTGGAGACAGAACGATAGCTGAGTACATGGCAATCTCGAACTCAGACTGTGAGTAGTGGAAACAGATTCACTTAGCCGATCAAAAACAACGCAATTCAAGCACTTAGATCAGTGCTGACTGTCTAGACTGTGGACAGAGAGTTGCTGAGATAGCGGGAGCTGTGGCAGCGTGAATCTGAACATACGGTTTCTTTTTGTAAACCCAGGCGATGTTGGAAAAATGCTCGTTTAAGAATCATTCATACACGAATCAAATCAAGATTCTGCCGTGCTGACTGGTCAAAATGGGAATACCGCTAGCGTCCCCTTCATAGGAAGGAGTCTGTACGCATATAACAATAATGGTGAGCAACTTGGTAATATTGATAGTGGTACTAATGATCGTTCGACTGTAGCACCCTATCTGTGAATGGCTATCGTGCCACTCGGGTGAGGGATGAGATGCCTTCAGGTTCCTCGAACCTACCTATATTTGAGGCGCGTACTCGCTGACCGGAAGGTCCCTGGTTTGAACCCAACCTCACTATCTCGACTGCTCCTGTCTGTTCTTGGGCAACTTGACAATATTCCATCCCCCTGCTTTCCTTAGATAGCTCGACAGCTATACACTGGAAGGGTGAGCAGCTGAACGACTGTATATTATTATTATTACTATTAGTATTACATATGATCACAGACCTCCTCTCAAGGGAATGCTATGGCGTAACCCCACTCTGACCGGTCAGTTCATGGAGGTTCGACTCGTTGAGGCTTCAGCCGACCGATTTTCAATTTTTTGCATCAGCAGTTCACTGGCTTTCATTTTAGCAAACAACCAACTCATCAGCTCGACTCTGATAGCCCCTCAACGAGTACAGTATCTTCATAGGTACATCCTCCCATTCCAAAAGTCAACATTGTCTTTTCTTATCACACAATGATCACTATTCAAGCTGATGATACATGTGTTCAGCCACACATAGGTAGAAGTCTTTAACAAATGTGAAATTCCCTACAGTATTGGAACAAAGTGACAAGGGGTTTGACGACATACTTTTGTTGAAATCCCGCATCCAAAAACTGTACGCTCGGATCATCTACATGTTCAGACTGGTGGGCGATTCTCTATTACGATTGGACTTTGTGCCAGAATGTAACCAGGCCAGTATATTCCCTTATAAAAAAGGCTAAAGGAAGCAGGTTCATGTATGCAGACATCTGTTATACTGAAGTGCAATGTGAGGTTTTCAGTACAGATAAGGGTGTAGTAGGCACGCTATAGAAGCACCAGGGGTTAGTGATTCTCCAAAGACAGGTGTTCAGGACAATTGCTGTGGGATAGAAAAAAACAGAAAGATAACTCATGAGACTGATCCTGGTAACCAAGGTGGTGCGTCACAGATACTTATAAATCAGCCAAAATGATAGTGTATACTACATCGATCCGTTTTTTGAAGAACATCATCCCCGGTGTACCATGGCCTACGTGAACTGACGGGTGTTATTGGTGTGGTCCGCGAGACTGGTGAGCGTGTTCGGAGGTCGCCGTGTCTGGGAGTGCGTTGTCTGTGTGATTGGACTGTAAGCACACGCGAACAACCAGGGAGTTTGTGGTATGGCCCCCAATATGTGGTAGCCATCCTGGCAAGGTCGCCAACTATGTAGTACGCATACTATGGAAGCGCCAGGGGACAGTGCTTCTCCGAAGACAGGGGCTCACAACAGTTTCTGTCGACGGGAAACAGAAAGCAATCTCATGAGCCGAAGCACAGTAAACGAAGCTGTACATCATCAATACTTACGTATAAGTCAACCAAAATACCAAACACTGTATTTTACGAGGGTTTAATTCAAGCTGTTCCTTCACTTTGCGATAAACATCAATTAGTTCACTGTAGTGAGGTTCGTCAAACGTAACGTTTTGAAGATTTCACGTCATATGGCACCCATGGTGCGTAACCAGAATCGATATCTTGCTTTGGAAGCCAGCCGCTGTACACTTAGGCTAAGCAGAACTACAGTTTGTCATGACAACTACAACAAGACAACCACTGCTCTCTCGGAATCCTGTACAGTGATCATTCCTATCCCTCCTGGGATGAAGTCCCTATTCAGGGTGCTCAACCAAATCCCTAGTCTTGTGATCCCCAAAAGGCACTCGGGTTAAACAGTCAACTTCACAAGAAATATGCTATCTTTACTCTTTTCATATTATCCTCGATTTGATCCAACGTGGAACACGCTTCCCATACGATGAGCAATAAACTTGGAATGAGACTAGAAATCTAAAGGCCCGCTTTTTTAAAGGACAGTCTCATTCATGAAACACGTACAGTACTTCATCTACCTTTACGTGATTTTTTGGATTAATCGACAGGTAATTAACGTTCTCTACAACAATGTAGTAAAACAAAGAAACAAATTTTCACCTCAGTGAAATCCTCAGTCAAAGTTAGACATTCGGATGAAACTCGCGTGAAGAGTCGTCATTCTGGTGGCTGTCGGAATGCGATGCGCACCTCGTTTAGAAACAAAACGTACTGAAAATCGGTCTGGAAGTGGAAACACTGGTCTATGCAGGAGCATAGTTAGATGGGATTTACCCGCATCAAGCTTTCATGCAACAGCTTAAAACTGCGAAATATCATTGGACTTGGAGAAACCTTCCAGGGCCAGAAAAAACCGTTCGGTACGTACTGGTGCGACTCTAGATTACGCCGCTTGATGCGCATGTGACCTAAGAATATATTCTCAGAAAGTCATGAGACTTCATTTTCGCCGACTATATTACTCTCTCTACTCTGATAAGGATTAACACTTTCACCTTGGTGGAGCAGCGTCCAATGATGTCTTTTTTTTCAACCAAGCTAAACGATCTTCAAACCAGCAAACTAATTTGGTTCTTTCGAGAGACTCACCTGGAACCCAGCTGAATCTCTCGTTCATGTTGCCTGAGAACATCATGAACGAGAAATTCAGCTGGGTTCCAGGTATGTCTCTCGAAAGAACCAAATTAGTTTGCAGATGAGTGTATGTTCGCTAATTTCGTGCAATTTGGTTTCAAGTAGAACATAAGTTTGACGGAAACCCGGGAACTGCGCCTACCTGATGAGCCCCAAGAAGGGCGAAAACGGTCGTGGCTGTCGATGATAGTACATTACAGATCTTGAAACCACTTTTGAGAGACGAAACATACGACTGTCGAAGCATTTGCATCCTTCAGGTGGATTAGCAACCATACAACTGAACTTTCGTTCCACGAATGAACTAACGGTAATCTGAAGTGTCCACGGCACTGACCAATCACCGTTGAGGTCACACTCTGTGGTACCCAACATGAGGCACGGGACCACATCTTTGCATGGGAAGTTCAGACATCAAGCTCATTGGGCAATATTAGGTATGTACGCTTATAGGAATTGACAGGGCTAAACTTGAAAGTGGGACATTATGGCTTGGCGAAAAAAAAACAATCATACTTGACGCTGTCCGCACTCCTTGATTTCTGAAAAAAGTGGCCTTTGTTAGAAAGGTATTAACCGACAGTTTTGGAGGGGGAACGAAGGGACCAGTCTACTTCAGTGTGCAAGGAACTTCGTCAATTCCGCAGTTTGTACAGGTTTTCTTACTGAATCTGTGGAAGGTGTCGATCTTTGAAAGCTGGTAGTGACAGGGTAAAGTCAAGAAATCACAGGATATGAAACTCTTGATGCGCTTGATCATGTGATTCGTCATAAATGATGTGAATGTTCTGTGGAAAGGTTTGAAGTGGGTGAAAAACTAGTTTTCTGCTAAGCAAAGACCACATGCAATAAATACAAGAGAAAGCCCGGTTCACATACACTGGGTGAATTTTCAATGTAATTGGTTATCACGTGATCTCACTGCATCGTTGTATGTGTGTGTGTATTCAAATCAGTATCACTGAAAGAGTCCATACAAGTCAGCTAAGTTAGAGCTGTTTCAGATAGGTAAACTTACAAGAATAGTTGACCTCGCAATTACCGTAAAGGTCGATTAGTACAGGTTTAATCCTCATGCGATCACAATCCGATACAGAATGCTTTGTTTACCAGTGCACTATTGTGTCAACTGCCCGCGGTTGGTTGGAATAGGTAAATCGTTCAGCTGTAGCACTCTTTCAGTGCCTAATTGCCATGCCTCCAGAAGGGAACATGAGAGCAGGGATATTTTCAGGTTGCCTAAACCTAGGTAGAGGGAGTTGAGGGGCAAGGTTCGGGTTCGAACCACGACCTTCCAGAATCCACGCTCTAACTACTTGAGCCACCTCGCCCAGCTGTGCTCACAAGAACGTGAATTGTATTTTACGGTCTTAGTTTGAGACACTCACGGTGTCTCTGCTAATACACCGGATAAAACATCTTGCAGTTTTTGCAGGTAAGGATGGTCAAAACGAGGACCTGGAATTAGAGGCAAACAGTTTACACTGATGGAACGCTGGTATGTACCAGCACAACTGCACAACTGTTTTGAGCTCATTAGAACCATATGTTACTTGTTCAACTAAGCTGTGCAGGTGTTTGAGCTGTCCATTTGTTTCAGTGGTTAACTTGCCGGTGATTTATAACTTGCATTCTCTCTGGCCATTCCAACGTGACAACTGCAAGATGTGACGGTGTAAGAGAATCCTACTGGCCAGACCAGCTGAAGGAAAGGGGCAATCAAATCTTTGTCTTACATTTGGTGTAATTTTGCGGTAAACGATTATGCGTATGAGAAGGCCGACTTTTTGAGCATTTCCGTTGCTATAGTTGTCAGAAGTCAACCAAATTCAAGAACGTGCAAATTCGGTTAACCACTGTCTGGTGAGAGAGCACCTGTATCCATTGGCAACCATAATCAGGTGAGGTCTATACAAACTCCGGCTAAATGCTGTCAACTTTTTAAATAATTGAAGTTTGTAACATGAAGTCCTCTTTTAAAACGATATGATGTCTGTGTCCTGGAGATCGTTTGGGATTAATTGAAAGTTGTTTGATTATTGCGGCTAGGCCCATCTAAGAAGAGACAACTAGGGTTATTTCCATAAAGGAAACTACTCACAGGGTTGCTGAAAACTCTTCGACAACCCACGAGTGGTTTTCAGCAACCTTGTGAGAAGTTTCCTTTATGAAAATATACTGCGAAATCCCGAATATCGTGCCAACTGAATCATGAGGCGGTTTGTGTGCAGCACATTCAGTTGAAGAATATCATAAATGAGAGATTCACTTGAGTCTCTCGTGAAAACCAAATTGATTTGCAAATAGCGTATTTCCCGACAACTGCGGTTATATTATTTCACCTTGGCTACTTGGATACCAAAAAACTAGACGATCACAGCAGTACTCATGTTCGTGCAGGATGGCACTGCTATCGTTTGCAAGAGAAGTGCTTGAAGAAAGAGCGCATCCGATGGCTTCTGTCACATCGACTATCAGTAGAACGCTTGTTTGCCGTTTAACTGTATGCTCTGACAATGTGTCAAACTGTTGGAAGATCGGGCGCCATTACTAGTGGTCGGTCTGATGGTCGTTGATTGGTTCACATGGCTTGGTTGAGAGCTTGCAAACAGCTCCTCACCAAGCGAGGTTGATGATATCTCCCCGAGCAGTGACTAAACCTCTCTGTGAACTCATCAGTAACAGCGGGATCAACCACCAGTAACTATATGCTGTGTTGACACGACTATATAGGGGATAAGGGTTCAGGGTTTTTCAACTGTTTGAAAATAAAAGTTGCCCTTAAATAAATTTAGAAATTCTTGTCTTCAGTCGTGATTATCAGATGACTTTTTCTACCAAAGACTGCCAAAATGTGAACTGTAAAATTCAGGCCTGTGTTTGATTTTCCTCCTTTGAATGAGTGTATCAATTGTGGGAAAACTACGTTGATTTTGTGTACGCATCCCAAAGAGAGAACCACTCCACTGTTTCTGAACTGTTCACCAGTACAAGTAAAATAAAAACGGACACAAAACCGGACTCATAACGCCACTTATTTGCTACTCAAAGACTCAATCACGTTCAAATTTCCTAACATCCTGACTACAGTTGGTCAGTCAGGGATCTTTCTAACGTTACGGCTTGCTGTCAGATGCAGCAAGCTCATTGGACAGCCGATTTCATGCATTCGCGATAGCTGCTATCCTGTACAGTGCTCCAACCATACCGATGACCTAGGTGTTGGACTAGCTAATATTGGCAATCGTCTTAGCCTGACGAACAGAACGATAGAAGACGATGAATACCATACCACAGTTACGCTAGCGTACTGATAACTGGGTCATTCAAGTAAGTAGAATTGTACAAACATGCGTTGAATCTGACTACAGAGGCATGCACAACATGTCGACTGCGAACAGCATATCGATTAGTCACGAAAGGGTAGACTGTTTAAACTCAACTAGCCATTAATTGACAAGAAAAAATACGATCTCTCCGCGACTTCAATCGGTCCTAATTATTGGATCGATTTCAATCGGTTGATCGTTTTCACTCTGCAGCTGAGCCCTGGATTGGTTTGGAACTTTTTGTCACACCCGTATTGACCTCGGTAACAATGAGAAATGAAGTTCGGCTTCAGAGTTTCCAAAGAAATTGCAAATACAATCAGGTGACATCTACGTATCCTCGGTAAGCTGTAAAATGAATGCGTTAGTGAAATGGAAAGTTTTTATTCCACTATTGAGTCATAGAAATAGAATAGAGAGAGACCGAGATACCTGTTTCCGTCAACGAGCAGTGCTGAGTTTGGTGGTACAGCGGTCTTCCGCTTGAGTACCACAACATTCCCTATTCTCCTCAAAGGACAACACTAAAATGATCAAAATGTTGTTAAAACTTGAGGGAATGTGGTAGCTGTTGAAGTGAAGAGTTTAGGTACATATAGCATGGATAAAAAGACGTTTCGGGAAGGATTCGGTACACAGACAAGAGAACGAGTGCTCTACTGACCCAGTTACTGAGGTTGCCCGGTGTCCATTACGCTTAACGCACTTAAGCTCTCCCGACGGATTTGCCATACGTCTGCCTAATGGAATAAAAACGGATGTCCGACAAGTAACATCAAGACATTTTGTTATCCAGAAGAAACTTTTGTCCGGCTCATTGTGGAAGTGACACAGGGGGGATCACCAAAGGCACTGACAAACACCAACTTTTATTCCATTGGACAGAAATATTGGAAATCAGCTGTGAACTTCAGGGGGACAAGCTTGACCGACGTTGCGCCTCCTCAGCAGCACATTCGATGGAGTAGTTGCTCGGTAGGTATGAGCCGAGCTGCTGGTTCGAGCCTCTCTTCAGGCGCGTATTTTCGTCCATGCTAGGTGTACTTCAACTCCTCACTTCGGCATCAAAAGCTTAAAGAAATGATTGATGGACACAAATCACACTTGTTTATTAGCTGGCAGTCAGCTTCCTTGCATGACACTCCAAGTACGTTAGGGAATAAAATACAATAATAACAATAATAACAATAATAATAATAATAATAAGAAGAAGAAGAAGAAGAAGAAGAAGAAGAAGAATAGTTCATCCACAACAACCTTTCTGTGCCTAGCTGCCTTGTCACCCGAAAGAAGAGCAACGGATGAGGTAGTCTCAGATTGCCCATACCCATACAAGAGCGTCTGAGATACCGGGATTGGGTTGGATCCCGGCATCCTCCGGCCAGAAAGCTCGCCTCTTGAGCAGATTGCTGCAGCTGAATTCTCTCGTTCCACCTAGATGTGCTCTCCAAAGAGGCGCAAAGTTAATCTCCTAAAACGCCTTTCTTTTGTGATGGATAATTGAAGTTCTTACAGAAAAAATGGCATTTTTATTTGGTATGGGTTCCTCAAACATTTCCCTGTTTCCCCTCGATCCTACACAGCCTAGGGGAGTATAACTCCAGTCGCACAATCACCATATCAGTCAGAAAAATTATCTAATGTCGGCTGATTAAATGATCAAACACTTCTATTACCAATGTTGCAAGCACAAAGTGCAGTTTGTATGTGACACCCACAGACAAGCAAATGGGTAATCTGTTGTTTCGGGACGCGAGTTGATAACGACAAAGTGTTGGACGGAGGATGATCCGCTCGGCCTCCTTTCCATTGCTCGAATTTCAATCTCGGGTAAATGCAGCATCACATGGGCCTGGCACTGATCTTTGCTTCCTGTCCATAAACCGAAGCAAGCTTTGGGTTTTCACGTTACTTTACTGTTGAGACGAACAAACATATTTCAACGAGGGATTCCATTACCCATTCCATTCAGTGAAGGAACGCAATGTGAACACAACTCGTGTCACAGGTGATTGTCCACATCGACTCACAACACAACTACACAGTCCCAGCATGGGTTCAAATGAAAACTGTGGTAGCAAAATACTACAAGATGCAAGGGTTCCCTCTTTGGAGGAGTGACCAATGGGAATCATATCGCGCGCCTTGTGCACCGAAACAATCGCAATTTAAGACTGATATAATAGAACAAACGGGGATCTGGAAAATCATTTATTTGAACCCGAGTACACATAACGCAAAAGAGAAGCCGGAGTACTTGATACGGATTCGGACAGGCTATCTTTTGGCCTGCTGGCAACTGACTTTACTCAGTGATGATATCTACTCGTATGGTGACGAAACATTTGCAAGTCAATTTGTAATAAGCTCAGCGAACAGATCAACAGCCACCTGATCAACAACCAATTACTGAACTGGTGTTTTACCGAATTAGCTACGGTCGGTGCATTAGAAAGCTACGTAAGTGCATGATGGAATATGCTGCTGTACCTAAACTGGAAGCGTCAAAAGTGTCGTCGAAACTGCCCCCTTGGCGTGGATGTCTCTCCTTGAGGGCCCATTGTTTTCTGATCCCTTCTGAGGCCTGGCTGGACTTCTTCGTCGATCTGCCCTCAAATTTATTAACCTTGTTTAGCCATTTCAATATGAACTTGAGACAGGGTTCCGCTTTCCCTGAGAATTCCTGTCTTAAATCATCGTCCGCATTCATAGTCTATCCAAAGTAGAACGCGCGTCCACAGACAACCGAATATTTCTGTTACTTTTAAACCAAGTGTAAAAATAGTCGTCACAGTTGCCGATGTTTGAAACCCCCGGCGACCAGACTCCCGTGGTTGACTTTAGGTGAATCACAAACAAACCTAGAACGTTTCGATGAACAACAGGGATGCGAACTGCCCAATAGGTAAATGCACAACCCGATTGCAACCACCAAAACCGAAGGCACCACCCTTTTGTCTGGTTCAGTCAGTGTAGTTCATTCTAGTGTGTCTGATCATCATCACCACGCAGTAAGTCATAAATCACGTCCCACTGAAACCTGAGTTATTCTCCTTGTCTGGTATTTTGGCTGACAACCCAGTCATGTATAACCTATCTATTGCATGATTGCATGAACACGGACTAGATGACTTTATCTGCACACTAGCTAGGAATATCTGTGCGTCAGTGCACATGAAACGCTAGATTTGGTCCAGGCCAAAATATGTAGCCAGATGAAGAACGCATATATTGGGTAAGAAGGACGAGTAAGGTAAGCTGACGAAAACCAATGGCCCGGTGCATTTCACCTCTGTCACGAAGTTGCTCTTCGCTTATCGGAATAATCTAAGGCTATGAAGCTTCGGTGTTCTACAGTGATGTCCTGCCATCGATGATGATGATGACGATGACAATGATGA